ATATATATGTATATATATAGTATTTATGTTGTGTAAATCTACAAGAAACAACATTACAACTAGAGAGAAAAAGCAGCTGGTTTTTGAAGTATAAAAGTCTCTAATGATAATAAAAGAGCTTATATAATTTCTCTTTTATAAGCAATGTCCTGTCTGTATGATTTCTGTTGGGCATTTTTTCTACAAGTGTAACCAGTTATGCTTCCTTTCTATGAATAAAATCAAAAACCTTAAAGGACGTAACTAGCTTGCATAAATCATCCCACTTGGATCAGCTGATTGCTATCAGCTACTGAGTAATCACACTGATACAGAAGTACATGGCGACCTTTCTAACTTGGCAGCTCTTACTGTTCCCCTAACCCTAAGCCTCCTCACTGAGTGCTTAAGCTTTTGGTATTGTTGACTTTGCAGAGAGCTAATGTCTATATATGTGTACAGATATGTCCACAGTCTGTTTATTATCAGCGTGTTGGTTAGCAGGTGGATTAGGTCTGACAGCTAAATATTTGTTGTTTCTTTAAACCTGTCAGAGATGTTTTGTTTTTGTCTGTGCCAAATCCAACTGTGTAAGGATTTGAAATATCAAGGCTATTTAAAATTATGACATGTGTCTCTGACTAATCCCACTTTCCTGTGAGAATAGAGCTACGACTGGTGTGAACCTGATGGCTGCAGCTAACGTCAGTGGAGAGCAGCAGCAGCATCACGGCAGCATTGTTATACAATGTTCTTATCTGTGTGCGTAAGTAAAGTAAAGCGGAAATCTAACCTTGAGTTGGTTTGTTATCTTCGTGGTCATGTTTGTGTCAACATTCTTCTGTTGCACAGAAGAAAAGAAGAAAAGAACAAACTCCTGTTACGTCAATGTGACATCATCCTACATAGCAACATGACACAGCAATGAACTACAGTCCCCAGGTGGTCCAGATCTGGGAGCCAAATATAACCATATCTCAGCCAACTGTATGACCAAAGCTGGTCCTATTCTGGTCCCATGTTGGACCAGACGAGTTTCAGCACTGTTTGTTTGTTTTTGACAATGGTTTACAAGTGTTTGTGCCTGTTTACATTCCAATACACATGCAGTGCTGACAGCAGAGGAAGAGGAGGGGGTGGAGGAAGCAGATGAGAGGAGATGAGAAGAGAAGGGACAGGAGGGGACTAGATGAAAGGAGAGGAAGAAAGATTGTCTGACAAATGACATTTTACAGTTTTACTAATGGCTTGATGTGAAAAATCAATAAATGTTTCCAATACTGTCAAGGCATTTTTTATCTGGGCCAAATATGGCAAGTATGTGTATTAAAGGTCCAGTGTGTTACATTCAGGAGGATCTACTGTCAGAAATGGAATATACTATTCATAGGTATATTTGAATTAATATATAATCCCCTGAAAATAAGATTTGTGTTTTTATTACCTTAGTCTGCCAAGTTGAACCACCATGTTTGTAAGGTAGCCCAGAATGGAAAAACCTAACACTAGCTCTAGATGGGTCTTTTCACTTTTTTTGCGAGTTACTTGGCCACAATAGTTCTAGATCAAGTTCTACACTCTGGACTTTAGGTAACTCTGTAACACTGCATTATAATAAAATACTACCATCAAATATTAACTCTGTTAAGGCCGTCATAACTGTAGTATAGAATATATTCTAACACACATAGTGTTAGGTTAGTTTTAGAAAAAGTTGTTCTTGGTCTTGATGGTTTGTTTATTTTGGGTCATTTTCAAAAGAAAATTTCCCTTCCATTATCAATATCTGTCAGGCTTGGTGTGTTACTTTCTGGGAACAACAGTAACGAGAAATGAATGAAACTGCCAGGGTGGGATCTCATGAAGCTTTAGTTTTTTGTTTGTCTTTCAAGTTCCACCTTTCTGTTACTACAGAAAAGCATTCATGACAACTTAATATCAGTAATATTATATATTAGTCTTTTGTGCTCCAAACATTGGAGTTTTTTGTTGTGGTGGCAGCCATCTCCAGCACCATAAGCAACTTAGAAGCTTCAAGTAAACAGCTGTCTTTAACATGGACAGATATGACTCAGCCACTTAAAGTTGTATGTAAAAGTTTGGCTACCCCTTAATAAAGAACACATTTTGGTGATTTATTTATTTTTTTTAAAGCTGTACAGCCTCTCAAGGGTATGGAACATAATATTTGCAGCAAACATTTATGCATTGTTTTGTTTCATAAATTGAACAAAAATAACATTATTGTCGCATGTGCAATGGTTTGGCCATCTTACACTGTCCTTAGAGAGAGTACCTAGAGGTAGTCCATGGTGGTAAAGTAAGTTTAGATCATTATCAAATGATTTTTGCTTCCAGAATTTGCTGGTATTTAATCAAATCTATTCTTCCCAACATTTTGACAACCATCTCTGTTAGCAATGTTAGCCTGATTGTCACTGCCTAGGTAATGTTAGGTCAGTGTGGCTCTTTTTTTTACACTCAGTGCTGCCAAAAAGTTCCTGATGTACATTGCTGGTTAAGAGTTTTCAGCTAACTGCGCAAGCTAATGCTGTCTGCTTATCCCATTCTTGGTCACAACAGAATATAGAAACCTTGACCAGTGCTCACCTATAGAAAGGCCACCGCAAGAAAAAGTTTCCTTTCTTAAGATTATTAAACGGACAATGGATTATAGATGTTTCTGGTTACCAACATTAGCTGTTGTAGCTAGCAAGCCTTCATTTTCACAGGATTGTGCGTGGTAGGAGACTTTAAATATCCATTATCTAACATAAACAAATAACACGTTTTCTTGCTGTGATGTAAGTTGCTATATTATATGTTATAATGAAGGTGATAAGCAGACGGTTAGCTTGAAAATGTTTCTACTTACACCTTAACTACCCACTTTACCATAAGCTCAGTGAAAGCTGGAAAGGAGTGAAAGCTGATGAAGAGCCTGATGAACTCTGACTGCTGTCCTCATAAACGTAGCAGTGCATTTTTTAATTTTAGTAGCCAGCTAAGCTAGTTGAATATTTAATAATACAAGGATGGTATAGAAGATTCTGTATTGAAGTGTTGCCCTGTTGATTGGCTCCCATTTGTGAAAAAGCGTGTTATTTTCGAAATTTTATCTTATCAAATAAACTCTTGTCCACTCAATTTTTCACTGCTCACACTATAGTTAATATTTATTCAGTCCTAAAAAATGGAGTCCCCATTCTGTTCACATAAAACACCATGACATGGTAGTATGTGGCAGTAAGTCTTTTCACTGCTGTGTTAATCCTATATATGGTGTAGGAAATGTGCAGATAGTTTTGTCCTGTGCAACACTATTAAGTAATGATTCATCTTGTTTAAAAATGACTCATTACCTCATCAGTTTCATCATCTTCTTTCATCAGAAGATGTTTGTATTGGGATTATAAAACCACCTGAAAAGTTGGTTCCCAGCTGGATAAGGGTCAGGGTTTTTGAGGCAGATCACTAGAAGCAGTATTGATACTGATCACTGCGAAGTTCTTTTTATATTTTATATCTGCCTATTCATAGTTTACATGGAAAAACCAGGTTCCACAACATGTAAGTGCATTCAAGCCATGCACTAACATTGTCTTAAATTTCTCTCATAGTTTCTCTTGATTTTCTAGAGAGGAAATAAGAGAATGCAATGTAACAAGATATTCCTCTCAGTGAATCACTACTATAGCTCTGTCTGCCTTCTTTCAATTCCTTTTCTCATTGTGATTCAGTCTGCTAGTTTAATGACTGATAACACGGCCAGTGGTGTCACATATTTCCATTGTTTTGCCCGCATTTGTGTTTCCCGCTTTTGAAATTGTGGAACTAAACTATGTCTTCTCGTCAGCCTCAGACGCACCGACAATAATGACGTTTAGTTCACCTTTATTATCAACGACTGGGAGCCAACACCCAAATTTTGCTATTGTGTTTAGTGATGGGTGACGTAAAGCTCTTAGAGAATATTACCTGCCAGGCTACATGGCACAACAAAAATGTAGAAATCTATGTTTTGATTACTGAAAGCTATAATAAATCAATAAGATTAGATTAGTCAAAAGACGGTCTTAATATGTAATTAAATTGAACTGTATTTTGCATTTCAATAGAGATTTTAAATTCCATATCTATCTTTAGTCGCTGCTTGCTGAAGCCTGTACTCTACATGATGATTTTTAATAAACATCTGCTCTCTATTAAAAAACACACAGTGATGTTAGATTTGTGCAAAGTTCAATTTAAATGTGTACAATCAACTGAGCCTCCTCCCACCAGGCTAGGTTGTGTTTTTCCCGAAGGCTTCTCACGCTGATTCATTAAGCCCACAAAGGTTGGCAAACATCCTATTACCTTTTGTTATACTCTGTGGACTCTGTGGGTTTATTTGCCCCATTTCCTTCCTTTTTTCATTCCTTACTCAAAGGAAACATTCTATTGATAGGAATTTAAACTAAGAGCTAAAAATAGCTGTGTTGTGATTCTATTTTTAGCTCTGAGTTGTGCTCTGGTGAGGCAACATTGTATACTCTTGCATCACACCTGTGGAGTTTCTCATTTACTCTGGGATATTTGCCTTTTTAGTCACATATCCCAGAGAATGTTAAATATTTACACATTTATTTTGTATAAGAAGAGGATTATGTACTTCCAAGTCTGTGTGCTTGTTCCAGATTTGTGGTAGTATCATAGTAGCATATGATATTAAGCTTTAAACTGTTTGCACAGAACATTGTCCAAAGGCAGTTTCTATTGTAATAGTAAACCAAAATATGCTCCTCACACCAGTCAAAATGCCTACCCTTGGCCTTTACCAGGCAGCAACTGGCACAGAGATGGGCACCTTCAAGCATTCACTCAAAGTTTCTGTAATACAGGACAGTTTCATTCTCAGTGGGCATATCCAGTTATCTTGTTCATTTCCTCCAACAAATATTTAGAGACAGGTTTGAAGATAAACACTTCAATCTTGCTGTATTTTTAACATAAACACCTCTACTGGGGAAAATCCCATACACATTAATAGTAAATGTTGCTGCTGTGAATTATCCAACGGTTAATTGCATCATCTCCCATATATGTCTGTGATGCATCATTTCAGCTGGTTATTACTATTAATTATTTTCATTATGGTTGGGTGACATGATGATACATAGAATTAATATAATATATATATAATCTTATACTAACAATTAACTGGTTCCAGCTAGGGCAGTCACGTTGAAGGAATTTCCCTTGCAGTGATTTAGGATTTCAGTTTCATCTCAGTACCTGCTAGTACTAATCACCTGCACCCTCCCTCCTTGTGCCTCCTGGGTCTGTGACTCTGTTAACTCTTAAGTCTCTAGTGAGTTACATATTAAGCGGGACAAAAACGCCAACGTGTTGTAATGCTGCACTGTGAATTGAGGGACACTAAGTAGCACTGTGTTTCAGACAGCGCCTCTGCTGTGTCGTGTCTCCTCAGCCTTGTCATTCTGGGACAACTCCTGTCTTAAAAAACATACTGAACATGATGTGATTCTGTGATGTCATATGCAGTGGCGGTGGCTGGCCATCCGCTGCGGTTGGTAGTTCCAGCTTCTCAGATCTGAATATTTGTTGGTTTTTGTAGTCCCTTTCCATAGAAAACTGAATATGTTAAAGTTTTGGACTGTTGGTGGAAAAAACTTATGTCACCCATAGGTTTCTGAAGAGCTGTCGTGAAGCTCAAAGTGTTGGGTGCTCTGGCATTCACAGTCCTGACTCCGCCAGCTTTTGGCTAATCCAAACATTGGCAAATACATACAGCCTGGGTGGAGTGACCCACCTGTCACTCAAAGTATCCATGCTCTTAATTATGCAAAACTTTAAGACAATATAATTAAAACTAGAGATGGAGCCGTTTCAATCAAACATGGGTATCAGTGCCGATGTAACTTGCATGTGCACCTTTTTATCAACTGTCAATATGCAATATTTGCTACGCCACAGAAACTGAGGTGTTCGATGGTAATACTTCTATTGTTATTTAACAAAAACAACCGTAGAATGCAGCATATACAGAATATATGAAGGTTAGTGGAGATTGGACATTGTACACTGAAGTTGAGTACTATCTGTTTTATGGCGAAACGCCACGGGCAGGTGGATTTTGTGGTCAGTGGTGTGAAACACAGCATACACAAAAACACAAGCATAGATTAAAAAGAACTGAGAAGAGGCCGTGGTCTGAGGTGAGCAGAGTGATTTACCACCGCAACATACCAACTGATTTAATTATGTCTGCTCTCTGAATGTGGC